TCCAGGTTTTTTACTTGTTTTCCCAAATTACAGATTCATATGCTAGTGTTGTGAAGTCATGCCGCTATTTTGTAGCTCTGTGATATAACACTTTTTAGTGGTATTGTTCTGATTAATTCTCAAGTTATCTACGACTAAACTACTTTATCCTTGCAGTAATTAATGCATGCAGCTTTGAAATATGGTGTCTGAGCATTCAGATAGTCCTTTGCTGACTCCAGTTATACTTACAACTTTGAAGCAGTTCCTCAGAAACGAGTGAGCTTCTTCAAAAAGCACTTCACAGACTTTTTGCTTAGCTGTAGTGGGACATGGCTTCACTTTCTTCTGCATGGGCGTGCACTTGTTCACCTGAGAAAACAAAAAATCAAACTTTTATTTTTATTTTTTTAACCATCACAGTGTACACTCAACAGTGCGAGACAGTTTGGAGGAAGATACCTGCAGCTTGCTACACTGCTCTGAATAACATTTTTGTCCATGAAGTTTGAGAAGTGCCTTGCACCCTTCATAAGTGAAACAAAGTATCTAGCTCTCTTATAAATATTACAGGTAACAGACATTGTTTCCTTTTTCTATTGATTTTGTTTTTCATTAAAGGATTTTGGTGGGTGGCTGCTGACACAGTAAGTCGTTGGCTTGCAATCTTGACTTTATAAATGATAGATTAAAGTTGTGCTTTTACTAGAACTTTTTGTTGGAGAAAAATTCTTTATATCCTTACTGGGGTATTAACATGTAAAATATAGCAAGAAGGCTTTAAGAAAAAAAAATATATATAACTGAAAGTCTGTACAACTGCAAGCATTTTTGGCCAATGACATGTGAATGAATTTTGTTGTACATGGTTCAGGTCAGGTCTTTTACCTTTCCAGTCAAGAGCTGACGATAGGAAATATTAATAGAATCAGCAATGAGCAGCATTTGCTAAAGTTTGTTATGATTTACTTTTGACTGAACACTGCTTTTAGGACTTTTGGATCCAACTTTTGTATCGGATCAGCAGCTTACTATTTTTTTTAATCAGTAATTTCTTTAGATAGCAAAACATTGAATTTAAAAGTCCTATTAGAAAATATAAACTCAAGTTACTGTAATTTAATTAAGGGAAAAAATTTAATTGCTAGTTTAACCTCCCACATGTCCCTCTTCCTGAAGGGGTCAGACATTTGCAAAGTCTCTTACTAACCTCTTCATTTTGTACAGCAACTGGTTTTGTAACACTAGAACTGCACTTAACTCTATTTGCACAGTCAATTTTTGAAGTAGGCTAAAAAGTAATAAAGCTCCTGGTAGTGACTGGCTTTCCAGTCTGAGTTTGCAGTTCAATGCGAGATTACTCCTACAAGGCAGAAGGACTGACTGCTTTTACTTCAGGCTTAGATTGGCCAGATTTAACTTGATTGCTTTCTAACTTTCTGTAGCACATATAGTTGTGGTACAACTTCTGTCCAGGAAGGATGCTTGCAAGCATTCATTTTATTAGCACAGCTGAATATGCTGGCCATTTAAACTGGTTATTTTCTGCCATATCGTCTCTTCCTACCTCTTTAGAAAAGTTTCTAAGCCTTGGTATGAATTCCTGACTTGGCACGTTTGTACTACTGGCCATTGCTTTAATGATGTATGACAACGGTACATTATCAGCAAGTCAATCTTTTTAATACTTTTTTTCTGAACGGGATATGACTGCAAGCAGCACAGAGCTCAACTAGAGTCATCTATAAATTCTTCGTGGTGTGCAGCACTGCAAAGATGCTCTGTGTGTGGCATACAATAAAATGTACCAATCAATAGTGGAAGCACAGCCGTTATGACATCAGCCACTTAAAGAAGGTCATCCATGCTTCCCCAGCTTTTTTTTTATGATAGTCAGTTTCTTATGTATTGCTTTTAATTGATTATTATTTCTCGTTCAACTTTAGGTACTTTCGCATTAGGTGGTTGCATTTTACCACTAGATAGAATGAAAGAAGGTAGTAGTACATTAGAAGTTAATATTTGTAGCAATTAAGAAAATTACACCAGCAGTCAGTCACATCATGATCCCATCCCATCATTCACAGAAACATAATCTGCAAAATCACTAGATATAACTCTCCAAAAGCAAGGAAGAGTACAAGATACTCATCCTCTTTTTTTTTTTTTTAAGGTTAATTACTGAAATAAAGCTGAAAAATAGCAGCACTTTTGTGCCCAGAACTGGGACACCTTCTGGTGAGAGAGACAGGAGTCACAAAACCTTTGTAGTGAGAAGACGGTGGTTCCCTTTTTTGTAGTAGATTCTCAAATTATGTTTCAAGGGATTTAGAGGAATAAATACTTATCAACACATCTTGAGAGCACAGTAAGGCTACATTTTGATTTTAGTCAATTGTATTCACAAACTGCTGTGTACATGTGCATATTTTTGTTTTTAAATTATCTTCCTCTGGTTAATAAGTTCCATGAATGAAGGTTAAGTCTCTTTGAAGCAAAGAGGTATATAACATTACTGTTTATTTAAGATAGCGGTAAGAAGTCCATTTATGCAAGCTAATACCCAAATCAGGAGCAGCTAACCCTCCAAAAAAAAAAAAAACTTTGCATTCAATGGTGTGTGGATGGACAACAACTTCACCAGTTCCTGCTTTCTTAAGTTTTATATCTTGGTGAGAAGAAAAACAGAAAGACCAAAAAAGTGGATTAAAAGGCTCAACAGACCCAGCTACAGCAAACAGCTCTGCAGATAATCTTGAGCGACTGTGCAACGACGTGTGGCCTGGTGGATGGACATGAGGACTTGTCCAGGGCTTAAAGCTACATAACCACATGCTTCCGCATTCCAGAAAAAGGGGTGCTGTAAGTAAGAATTTCTCAAAGATGCTTGGTTCCACCAGCAATTTCTGCTACTAAGCAGAAGCAACACCTGTGTTGTTTCTAAGCTTACCACTGAGACCAAAAATCCTTACTACCGATCCTCAGGGAATTATTGTTTTTAGAAAATACGTGCAACTTCTTCCTTATTTAAGCACAGGAAAACAAAGTATATGGAGTATGCACTATCTAGCTTTAGTTCATCTAGGTAAGCCAAAACAGTATGTCTCATGATGCCCTTTGTGCTTTAGCACCATAGGTAACCTGCATAGAAAGAAGCTTTTCAGCTTGTTACCTGCCAACTCTGTGTGAATTCTTGCACGTTGTCCGTGGAGGAATGATTAGGCAGTATCCATTCATTCCCTGCTTCATTATCATTGGTACCAAAAAGCCCAGCTGAAATACCTGGAATTAAATTAAAATGGAGTAAGATAGGAGTGGTCACAAGAAGACACAGGGAAATTTTTAGACGCTATCTCTGGACTCTGATTATGCCATGTAGTAGAGCTCAACTGTAATGTACAACAGGGAAACTAGGCCCAGGTCACATTATGGATTTTTCTAAAACTGTATTGACATCTCATTTGTTGCTTGTTCATTTACTACTTTTGATTAGATAAACCAGTATATAGTCTCTGCTAGACTCAGTGGTAGGAGTTTTCAAACAGTTTGGGGCACACAGATAGTAGTATGTTCCAAGTATACTAAAAAACTTGAAGCTTTTAGGCCTCCCTCTTCTGTGTTGTTATAGGTTTGACAAGGTAAATCTACTATAGAGCAGTGATTCTCAGACATGTTTGAAGTTTGGACTGACTGCATTACATTTACTCTCTAGTTCCAGCTGCCTTATTGTATTGAAATTATAGTAAGCTAGGTAACAACTTGCTGCTGTTATGGGACTGCTGTATAATTGTGCTGTTTGGCAATAACTGGGAATGCCTGGTGCCACTTCCCAGGTTTGTATAAACAAAGGTTTGGGGGGCGGGGAGGGAGTGAGGGACAATACACATGCTGGAACTAGCGGTGATGAGAATTCAGCGGTACAGAAAAAACAAACACCAGCTGGCAAAGTTGCATGAGTGACACTCACCATGGTGCCATCCAGCCAGAGTGACAGTACAGAGATCATACTGAAAGTCACAAGAGATGGAAACGCCGTTCTGATCATATATTTCTATTTTGTTGGTTTCTTTCCTTGAATCAGTGGTATTCTTTTCAAAAGATCGATCCATTCCTTGGCAGTTCTGTTCCATAAAGGAGGAATTATACATCTTGGATATCTGATTTTAAAATGAAAAGTGCAATTTCAACTATTTCAAGTATGCCACAGTGCAAGTTACTCTTTCTGGCTATGAGCTAGCTCAGTGTGGGTCTGCAGGTTGGAGAGTGTCAATTTTGCCCATCCCAGAGTCAGGGAATGAGAAGGGGTTTGTGGGAAACTCCTGAGACAGCAGGGAAGCACAAAGCCTCCCAGATCTACTGTGAGTATGGTTCCAGGTTAGTCTCCGTATTTTTGCTACAGCCACTCTCTTGGACCATGTAAGAGGAAAGCTGAAAGGTTCATTGAGCCACTCTTATTTGAGAAGAGCGAGAAGAATTAGAGACTTAGAGAGAGCAGAGGCAGCACTTTTGTTTTGGGGACTTATTTCACAATGTGTTACTGGGGCTTATTAAAAACTGGTTACTTACTAGCACTTCTGTGAGCTGTTCTGATCTATGTTTGCATTATTAACATCTTGAAGAATGCTTCCGTCAAAGATAAGTTCTCATCTGGAAGAGAAGAACATTTGACTGTCCCCTCTTACCTTCAGTCTTGGGTAGATATTGATCACAGTCTGGTTCATCTCCACATACAGTGAGCTTGAGTCATTGATTTCCTGGTTTAGTATTACAGTGAAAGTATTGTGAACAAAATCCTTGGCAAGAAGCACATTGCACTTTGATGCCAAATCATAAATTTTTCCATCAAAAGTCATGAGATGCTTGTTCCCCATTAACATAGCATGATCTAGATAAAGATATTTCAAGGGAAACATCAGTAATTGTCCACAGAGCAGGAAGTGTTACTTGCTTACTGTGATATGAACAGCTACAGACTGCCTTATTCCTAAAATAATTTTCCAAGCTGTTAGTATATTTTAAGTTAGTTACAAGTTGCTCTGCAACAGAAATTTCTCCAGAAAGGGAACAATCTGGTAGTTTCTTTTCCATTTTAGATCAGCCTGAGTCTCCTAACACTTTGGGAAATATAAATTAGGAGTCAAAGCTCTTATTGACTTACCGTCATGCTACCTGCCCAATTATACATTTATATACTGAAAACAGCATAAGTATTAAGTGTCTCAGAAAAATACCCCGCCAAACCAAAGAATCACACGCAGCTGTACTCCAAGAGCACTGCAGATACACTTTGAATATTTGGTCACTAGGAACTACTCAGTGCCCGCCATTTTGTCTCCTCAATGGAAAGAAGCCATCAAAAATTTCTTTCTGGAAGATCCATTATCTACAAATGACAGTTGGCACTGTTAGTGCACTCTTTTTAGCATAAACAGGGCTTTTCAGGTAATACTGTCTCTGAAGGGATTAAGCTTTCTCACCCTAGAGTCAACAGCAGTGATTTCACCAATTTCAAAGTGGGACAGAGCCTTCATGGCAAAACCCAGATACTCGGTGAGCCAAAAGGTATGACTGGCATTGAACCATGACACCAAACCACAAGAGGATATAAATAAGACAGATTAAATTCTATCTGCTAATTTCCAGGCTCAACATAGGGAATTGTAAAGTGTTTGAAAATTCGAACGAATATTTACTAATGTGTTTCCAGCAAGTCAGCTTTAACCAAAATAGGACTAGTCTACAGATGATTCTCAGTTTATAGGAAATACTACACACAAAGCGAATAGACAAATGATTAATTAGCAACCACCTTTAATAGTAAACTACTATTTCAGATCAGATTGTCGAATTTAGAACTAAGTGGAAACAGACCCAGGTACAAAATAAATCAACACGTTGAAAGGGCTTACGTTCAAAGGGACTCTCCATCATCCTCCGTTTGAATCTATAATACTCTGCAACTACGTTGATGTTGTACAGGTCTTTGAGAGGTCTCATAAGCTTTTCTCCAATGAGATAGGTAGTAATATTTGCCAGGTCCAGGGAGCTGTCTGCTTTAGGAAGTACTGGCAGTTTCACTGCCACTGAACAGTCCCTGTGGAATACAAACAAAACAGCACGTGCCCTTAGCTGCTAAAATGATTCACAATACAGTTGCTCTATTATTAGAAATGTGGAAGTGAAATATTCACCAGAACTGCAGCCTGGTCAGAGGTACAAAATACAGATGTACCATGGCTAAGAGCTGCAAAAAAAAGCATGCTAGGCAAGGCCATGTTATTGCAGTTACTGTTATTCTGTTTGCTGCTGAATATCTACTTTTGAAAGGCAGGCTTTCCTGGTAGCTTACAAAAATGAACAATACAGTGTGAATGCTGTGTGCCCAAAGCAACGAATGGTTGCTGTCTAGAACCCCAAGTATATAGGCTGATGTGAAGAATAAAAACAGGCACATAGCCATTTAGAACAGGCCACAGCAGCAGAGCTCCTCCAAAAAAAAAAAAAAAATTACCTAGCTGAAAAACTGTAGAGGTTGAGCAAGGGCTTCCGGATCTTGCGCACAGCTCTAGACAACATGGCTTCTGCCCACCTCAGCATCTGATGTGTGGTCTATTGGACAGTGAGAAAAGCAGATTACAAAACTGACTTTTATACGACTTTAGAGCAGAGTTAGTTAGTATTTGACAGTGAGTTTTAAAAGCAACATTAAACACTTTAGCCTCCCTTGCATTTGACAGTTGCCTGACTGGTAGCATCTTGTCATTTAGAGGTTGTCATCCAGAGAAGAGAGATTAGCCACCACAGCACCAAAGAGCGCACAGAAATATATCCTTCCTAAAATGACACTTCGCTGAGTTAATGTACTCCAGTAGCTTGCAAAGGATTGAGATCTTTGTTAATATAAATTAGTGTCGTGATAAATCATTTAAGCTCTTCATTTCAACTAGAGGAGCTCAAACCTAGTACACTGTTGATCGGCATCACAAGCCCTCCTCTCTGTGGAAGAACAGCAAAAACTATGTGAATGACTGGTAACTGCTGTTGTGATTTCCATCAGAACTAGTAAAGCAACGCCTTCGCTAGTTGGAAAAGTACTGCTGTCAAAGCAGGTCAAATTTTTCAAAAGAGCAATGTATTTGCTGTGCACAATCTGTTATGTGGAAAGATAATTCCACAATTGTCATTTAAGAATATTTTAAGTATTTTTTTGTGCCAATTTGTGTTTTACTTGAGCACCCAGGAGAGTATTTGGCTCTGTATACTTACATAGAATAGACAAAGCCTTGAATTAAGAGCCCTCATGAATGGTTCTGGGGAAAAAGGAAAGGAACCCAGTAGCATTAGTTCCCATCAAAGTACACAGGGTAAAACAACGCAGGTGCTGTGAAACCTTAACAAAGGTTTCTATCCGTATCTATAGCTAGATCTCTCTACAGCCCTATCCATAGTTCGCAGCTGAGACTTGAATTTGTAGACCTTTTCCTTTAACCCATTAAACATGGAGACAGGATGTGTACCAACCATATCCAGGCCTGTTTTCACAACCCGTATTGCCACCTGGATTGGTTCCAGTAGCCAAACATCTTTTACAATCCTGGGCACAAAAGCCTGGACTTTCTTCATGTACTCTTCTGTTTTCTCATGCCAAACCTCATCCAATGGCTTCAAGGTTACATCGTAATAGGCGTCCTTCAAAGTTGCTAATGGCTCTGAGGCAAAACACATTACATTAAAAAAAGAAAAACTTTAGATAATATTACAAAGGGATAGCTGAGGCCATTTTTTTCCCACAGCTTCCACCACAGGTGATGGACAGAAGGCTTCTCTCCATGGAAGCTAGGCACATTTCATAGCTGTGCCTTTGGACACAGCGTTAGGGAAAAAAACGAAACAGTGGCATTAAGCTATAGTCCTGATCCACTCGCATGCTGTCTACCAAGTATACAGTGCTGCTTTCTGAAATAAATGCAAGCAATGCTTTGTAATATGCCACCACTGGAACTGCACAGCCCAGCTTGCACCTGACCAAGGAATAACGAATGGGACAGTTTGGTCACAACTAACTTTAAACACAGTCAAACAACTAAATCTCACTTTTGGCAAGAATCTAGTCCTGATCTGTGACACAAAGTGAGGTTTTACTCTTGCTGTGAGAATGGAAGGTAATTACTAATTATAGCCAACTGTATTTCTCAATGGTTTCAGTATGGACTAGAGTCCATCTGAGTAGTGAATTAACGACCAACTGGATAGACTGGGAAACACTATAACAGAGAGCGTGAAATCTGATTAGCACAAACATTCAAAACTCAAGGATGGCTCTGAACAGCCCTTTGGGAGCAAATGCTTGCCAGGGACCTGTTAGCAGAAATGCTTCAGCATAGGAATCAGGGCTCTGTAGGAGACCAGACTCCTAAGTCAAAGACAATTCCTCTTCTCAATGATTTCATTAGAATGGTAGTGTCACTGAGGTTACTTAGAGGCTTACTGCATCAAAGTTCCCTCTCTGTCAATAGTAAGAGCTAAGAGTTTATATCAGCACTTTTTCCTAGATCAAAATAGAAACATTTGTGTTGTTCAGCATCTTTCATATTCAGTTTGCTTTGCCCTGCATGACAGTGTCCTGTGCATTCTCCTTGGTTTGGATAGTTTTTGCTTACTTTGCAATTCATTCTGCATTTGCTGGACAATGTCTTGAATTTTATCCAGGTAAAGTGGGAGCTTGCTTCTCAGTATCTGCCTGATTCCACTCTGCTTCCACACCTGGGTGACAGCTCTACCCACACTGTGGAGGAAGCCTGCTGCTTCTTGCAAGGCTATTGAAGGCCAGTCAGCTGCTTCAGACAGGAAATCAACTCGCTGCATCTATGGTGGTTCCCAAACAAGAACAAATGTTAAAATACATAGTGATCACAAAAAAATCTTTGGCGTATGTTTTTCCCTTGACTTCAATTAGATCTCTAAAGATGCCATATTTTTACTGTAGACCTCAAAACAATCCCATTGTTCCTTGCTAGATTGATACTGAGAACTATCAGTCAATCATCAGGTTTATTAGAAACAAAGGTAGGTTTGATAACATCAAGTCTTTAAAAAGAGAGTTCCCACCGTTCCAAGGTAATCCCACACACCTCAGGGTTTGGTCAGATGTACAGCATTTTGAATGTGCGTTTTGTCTATACATGAATTACAGGTGAACAAAGGATTAATCATTTAAATGTTTGAGTAAAACTAGACAACTGCATATAACATAAATGATTCTTAATTTACACTGGATGAGCATCTCATGGGTCTTTTACAGATGCTGTAAGGCCGCATGTTTGATGCCACACTACTTTTCTAAGATGCTGATAGCAGACTGCTAATTACTTACTGATTTTCTGAATCTCCAAATATATCCATCAAACTTCTTCATCTTTTCTATCAGTTTGGCTTTTACAAGGCTCCCAATTTCATTAAGTTTGTACTGTAAGAAGATGAACAAAAATCTGTATTTTATGATTTAGAATTGCTTGTGCTGGGACCAAATCACTCGGAGTCTGTACTAGCTTAAATGTCAGCAAAGGTCCCTGGTGACCTCCCATTTCTTGGGGGGGGGGGGGGGGGAATGACCTTCGCAGCATTAACTAGTTAGAAATGGGAACAAAAGAGTCTAAGGATGAAAGACTATGAAAACCTTCCTCCAGGCAGTGGGTCTGTGGAACCCTACTGGAAGTAAAAGCACATTCCAGACTTCTAACCCCATCTTTGTAACCAACATGGCAAATTACTACCCCTCTCACTCCATTTAACCTCTTTAGAGAATACAAACTTTGGGAGAAAGTTTCATTTTTTCTCTGCTTTCTAGGTGTGGCTGAGCTTTTTGATTCTCACCATAGTATCTTTTAATACCAAAGCAAAAGATAATGTTATTGAGGTAAGAACTGCAAAATCTTCCTATCTGCCTGCTTGCTCACCAATACTCACAAATGAAACCTGTCTGGAAGGTGCTCCATGAAACTGTTAAAAATTAAGTTATATCCTGGAAAAGTCACACTGCAATTAACTGCCACTGAAGGGGCTCACCTCAGCCTTAAGAACTGCATCCCCACATCCTTGAGCCAGGAAACTCAAGCTTTCATTAACAGCTGTTAGGGTCAGTTGTCCCATTTTTTCTTGCCTTTCACCATTAATGTTGAGATAGGTATTAACAGTAGCCATCTGTTGCCCATCGGTACAAGCACTGACCTCCATTCCTTCCTCCAGATCCCCTTGGAGAATGAAAAAGAGATCTTCATTTACAGGAACACTAGCAGACATTGTTTGAAAGCCATTTTTAAAATTACTTAGCTGTTCAGTCAGTGTTTCTGAGAGTTATGTGTTTGTAGAGAAAAACAAGAGGAGATAAATTAGAAAATTATTATTAGAGAAAATTAGATCAGCTTCATTATTTGACTTTCTCCATGTGGCTTGCAAATGCTTTAGAAATACAGATTTGCTACTGCAGAGAAAGCAGTGAATTAATAGAAGGCAAAATAATTCTTTAAGCTGCAGTGATTGGCAGGCTTTTTTTCTACTTTAGTGTTCCACTGCTCTTAGCTGCTGAAGCTTCAAAACTGTTTAGACTATAAATGAAAGCATGTGTTAGTCACTCACCCACGTATCATACACCTGTCATAGTTGTTCCTACCCAAGAACTGAAGACTAATGAGCATAAGCTAAAATGGCTGGAGAAGTGTCCACAGAAGCTAGATGTACGGAGTTGAGTCAGATCATTCCTACAACCTTCTGACTTCAGCAGTCGCAAACTAATAGTCTTAATCTCGTACAGATCACAACACTTACAAATTAGGACATGAGCCTGAGAGAAATTCCACTGCAGAAGTAGGGCTCACAGTCAGAAATGAAATGGCAAATCCGTAACTGAACCTAGTACTGAGATCACTACCAAAATGAGTTTGAGACAACTGTGATACCACCAGATCTGTATGGTTTGCACATAAATCCCATGTAGTCAACAGGTGGATGAGTCACTTGCAGGAGCAGGTCTCACTTCCCCAACTCTAAGATGGCTAAATCTAAGTGGCATGAATCCTATCTCTGATCATCATCTATTATAATCCTTACCTGGCCAGTAATCATACAAAAGTCTCTACCAAACGGACCTGTATAACAAGTTTTAGGCTTCAGATTCACTGGCAGCATCATTTAAAGGCCATAGTTTGAATCACCATGAAACTGAGCTACCTTGACACTATACCAATGAGAGCTCTGAAGGTACATACCTTTCAAATACCCCACGTAGTACTGAAGACATTCATTTCCTTTAGAAGCAGCTACCTTCACTTTCTCTTTCTGATCAATAATCCCCTCCACCAGGATTTGGCTCTGAACAGCTGAGGAAGAAGTAGTTCCTGTCAGGCCTAGCCAAATATCTTCAAAGGCTTTTAACTGCAGCCATAAAGGAAAAACACATTTATTCAAAGCCACCAAACAGAATTAATGAAGCCATGTTCAGAGGTGATGCCAGAAATGTCAGTGCCTCCTACGGAAGGATATGTGGGTGAAGGTGATGTTTTCCAGCAATTGTGCTCTACGTAGGAGTTTTAGTTAGACTATTGAGAGAGACATGAGCAGTAGGATGACTGGCTCAAGAGCTGAATGACTAGACAGCACAAGGGAATCACAGAAACAGCCAGGCTTGTGGATAAATAGTAGCAATGAAAGAAACATACCCTAATAGTCAGTTCCTCAGGAAGCTGTTAATTTGTGCTATTCGTTCCAAAACAAGAAATACAGAAAGCCCAGGTAAAGCAGCTCATATTTCTTTCATCTGCCTTTTTTTTGTGGGGGGGGAGGAGGAAATCCAGTATTTGTCTTATTCTGTAATTCTTGGGAATAACTGCTAAAATCTTCATCATCTTTTTTTTAAGGGATAGCCTACCATCTCGGTTATTTATGACTTGACTACCCACGTTCCTTCTCATTAAGTTTGGATGGAACTGACCACATCACTCTTTCATCCCACTCTCATTGCCACCATCAGCTTCTCTACCTTATTCATTTCACAGGAAATTAAGAACAAAGGCAAAATAAAAGGACACAGAGAAAAAGGAAGACGTTTGCCTCAGTACGTTCGTCACATCAGCTGTTCTGCACCCTTCTCAGAAGGGCCAGTTCTTTCTTCTGGTAAACAACACTGTATTTGAATCTCATATTTTATTTCTCTTTATTTTTGCTATGGTGCCTTTACATGGCTCACTAAACAGTCATATTGAAGAAGGTGAGCTACAATAACAGGGCCTCTGAAAAAATTCCCGTTGATAAACACTATATTTGTCACTGAATTCTGCAGATAACTAATGCTGGTGCCTGTCTTTCTCTCTTGATCACACTGCATGTACAATGAATTACTGTTACTGTAAAAACAGATTTTCCAAAGAAATCGGAAATACTTCCTTGTGTAGCCTGTACTTTCCTTCTGTTTTATACGTCACTGGCTGCACCTGATCAGTTCCAAGGCTAGATGGCAGTATGCCTTTAAAAGAAAAATAAATGCCAGTAAAATAAAAAACTCACTTCAATCTCCACATAATAGTTCTTCATATCAGCTGTGCTCTTATTTTTTAATGATAGTTCAATCAACCCATCATCTCTTTCACGACCAGCAAGGTGTAATCTGCTTTCTGACTGCAAAATAGTATCTCCTTTGTTGAGTTGATGTTTTCCAGAGAAAGCAATTACCTAAGCATGAAAAAGAGATGCTAAAGCTTAATTCTTCCACAAAAACAAACTCGTAGAGAACAGTAAGAGGTTCTATAAGTTATTGGCATTTTCTGTGGTTGAGCATGGCATGTTCAGTGACTGAAGCCTAAGACAAGAAGAATAGTTGATCTGTAAGTATATTCTATTAAGACAAGTCAACGTATTTTTTCCTTATGCTGCTCAACTAGTCTAGCTAGCATTTTCATGCATGCTTTTGAACAAAAAGGTTCAAAGAATACAAAGGCACCTGATTTTAAAGTGACATGAATATATATTTTTCCCATTAAACACAGGAATTAACCTACCTTGATCTCAGAGAAACTTTTCACTAGCATTAGAATTTGGCTGCTGTTTCCTGTTACTAACAGGACCCAGCCTGCTCTGACGGTAAACAAGACAGCCATTGAGATGTGTTTTAGCCACTGGGAATCGGAATGAGACCACGTTCGTTACCAGGTCAAAGTTTTATGTTTGTTGTGAATATCTACGTTAAATTCTGGGGTCAAAATTTGCACATAAGGAAGCTCATGGAAGGGTCTTCAGTTTATGTGTGTAAACAAATGACAAATGACAACTGTAAAAACAAATGACAACTGTAGGGTTACACTAAGGTTCAAAAGTCCATGACTATCAGCAGAGCAGGCAAAAAAAGAGTAAACTTTTACCTACAGGGAAAGGAAATAACTTTTATTCCTCTCTAATTTTCTTTCTGATCACCCATGAGATTGTTTTGGCATTCTCCAGAAACATGAAATTAAAAGACCTTTGAGAGAGGAATAAAAAAGAAAGAACATGGAGGAAGTGGGAATTTTTACAGCCATAACAGGGCCTATAGAAAATGACGTAACAGTACAGTGGCAAACATGATCTTTCTCCTCCAATCCATCACAAGATATTGTTTATTTATGGTTTGTTAAGTTAGAGGAGAATGGAAATTCTTGCGAAAAGTTGCAGCTGAGGAAAATCTCAGTCTCCAAACCAGTAATTGAATTAAATTTGAAGCAGATTCAATATGTTCATGACAGACTTACAGTTGGGAGGTCGCAGAATCCAAAATTAATATAATAGTACAGCCAGGATGAGTAGTTTGTTTCTATTTTACCCAGAACATTCTGTTTGGTGCAGGAGGTCAGGAAAATGTTTTCCAAAGTGGCTTCTAACTGAAATTTATCAGGATACAAGAATCTATTTCTCTGCAGTAAGCCAAGAAAATAAAGTTTAAATATGACAGCAGAATCATAGACACTCCTACCTTCCCCTTCCCCCAGCTCTCAACTTCATCTTGTCCCCTGTGCTTATGCCTGTAGCTTCAGGGTTTTAAAATAACATTTCCACTTGGCAACTGTTACTGGGCCCCACTCTGCAGAATCACCTCAACAGTCTCGCAAATTTAAGGTGAAAGGTGACGCCTCTCTTTCATAACAACTAATTTATTCTTAAATATTCTACATTTGTCTTTCTTCCTATGCAAAGAGAAATACAAAGAAGATGATCACCTGCAAAATTAAATAGTACTATTTTATACAAGAAGGTGCTTTACAGAAGCTTTCTTAAATTCTATTCCAAATTATATTTAAAAAACAAATTCACATCTATCAAGAGCAGCTTCTGTTAAAAAAAAAAAAAAGGTAAATTAGCATATGCAACAGCCTTTTCTTACCTCATAAGTCAAACTGTGTTTGAATTTTTTGTCATCCCAGTTCAGATCTAGATATTCATTAAACAACAGTGCTGTTTGCTCTAGAGACCCACATGCATTAAAGTGTCCCATTCTTAATACTCTCTGAAGCTGGAAAAGGGTGGAAAAAGAAGGACATACATGTTAATAATTTTCTACAAAATTAGTTCAGTATTATTAACATTTTTAGAGGAGTATGCTTTCAGGCAAAAATTCATCCCTGAAGAACCACCTCCAAAAGACTGTGTCTGTCTCTACAGAGAAACTTGAGAGATGGATGATTCTGTCCTGGGGAAGACCGTATCCTAAATACAAACGTATCTGGCAACATGAAGCAGAATTCTTCAGAGGTTTTATTTTTTCTTCCTCCAAGACAGGAAAAAAAAATAGTTGTCAAGTAAAACATTTTCCTATGATAACAGATGGAAAAAATTTCCAATCAGTGAGACTGAGGGACAGAAAGTTAGCTACCCCTCACCCTTCTTAGACTCGAAGACTCATACCTGACCTGAAGAGAGTGTCATACAAGCATCCCAGGCAGTGATATTCATCTCTGATTTATCTTCCAAGGTCACTCTAACATCAGCAGGCTGCCCACCATTCCACATGAGCTGCATCTAAAAGCGGAAGAGATGGATTTCTCCGGTGAGGCAGGCCTAGAAATAGCAGGACAGCCTGCAGAACGCTCTAGCAGAATGAACCTTATCCAGTGGGGAAAAAACCCCCACAGTTAAAACTGCTACAGAGACGTGTTAATGCTCCATTAAACTCCGTATAGCCTGCAAGCTCAACCACCTTACACAAATCCACATAGAAACTGCACTTTCAGAACTCAGGCAGCAGCAGTCCTTCCGTTACCTTCTCTGGAAGCTGCATCGGGTCTACAGTCCACAGCAACTAATGATGCCAGATGTTACCTGGTGTTACAGTTACTGACAGAACAAGAGAATTTAACCCTCTGAATATGATGCTTGAGGCATATTCACTTTTTAGTGAAAAACTATTGGAGAAGGCTGTGAGGCACCACTATGAGTACCAAAGAGACTCCAGACAAGCAAACAGAACACTGCACAATTTGTGCAGCTTGTTATTGGACAGAAAGTCTTCAGCCTCAGTGTTGCATTAACAAGCAAGTGTCTTGTCTCAACAATGCAAATGATGCATTATACATGCCATTTTCAGACAGAAAATACTCTATAGTCTCTGATTTTAAAGGCTAATTTATGTAGTTCTTTTTCGTTTTTTTCCGCATACAAGCTTTACGAGCACACCTGACAATTGTATTTTAAAGCCTTTCTGGTTTTACACAATATTTTTTACATCCGTGTTGCAATTTCCTATAAAGTCCTAAAATTTAGTTTTGCTCTATATGAGTATCAAAAAATTTCTGGCATTTTTTGTAGAACAGGAGTTTGTTCATTACTTTGTGGACAATATTTCTCTCATTTTAATTGCTGGGTAGATACCTGTGCACTTCTGGCTTCTTACCACCCAAAGTGGGTCAATGCTAAAAGTGCAAGACAAATGTCATCAGCTAGCAAGTTATCTAGAGTTATGCTTGAGAAAAGCACGTGTGTATGCTTAGAAAAGGAAACAATGCTGGTGTTTTGGACACCAGGAGATAACAGCACTTGGTATTTAAATTTTTCAGATGAGATCCAGTTCTCCATTTCTTTGGGATGAAGGGTACACTAGTGGTAAATACAGTATCATAGCTTTGTATTTTGCACCCTTTCTCATTATCTCACCTGCTGGCTGTACTTTCTGCCTCTTCTTTCTGACAGGGAATTGACCTCAAGCTGCCTCAGAGTGAAATTAAACGGGTGGGCAACAGCAGCTCTGTAGCTCATGCGCTCTCTTCCAAACTTCAGTGATGACGTTGCTGATACCTGATCAATATCAATAGATGTAAAAGTAACATGAGAAACTTCTCACATACTGACATATTCACGCAGCAAGATTTTTCTACACCTTTTCCTCAAATGAAAAATGTACTTAATATAAGTCATTTCTTAAAGTAGCTAGCCAAATTAATATTCAAATAAGGACATTCCTTTGGCTACAGCTGGAAACAAAACTACTGTCTATCTTTTACTAAGATTATGAACCACGCCTAAGTTTGATGAGGCTTAACTTTGCTCTCATCTTCAGGCACTGTCAGGAGCTCTGCTGACTCAGAGTGCTTAGTCACCGCATGCAAAGTTTAAGCACAAAAATAAACATTTGCAGAATCAGGAACCAAATTCCGTAATGTGGCTGGTAGGCATCATATGCCACTTAAAAACGACTGCCTGCATTTTAATGTAAATAGTTATGTTTACTATGTCTAAAGTCAAATTTGGAATTCTAGCACTTTGTAAAGAGAAAGTAAGTGTTTAAGGAATTCTGATCCTTTTGCAGACAAGTGTATGTTTCTCTACGATAACACATTTTATGCATTACCTTTTCTCTTTCATTTATTCAGAAAATAATATAATATTTCACCAGGGTGCTGTTTAGTGCTCCCGTACTCCTGTATTTCAGGCATATATTTAAAGTAGGCACCATTTGTTGTCAGTAAGCTCCCCAGTTTATCCGCATTTATAAATCACTTCAACCAAAGTTCTCCTGATTCTAGCTGTGTTTTTATTATTCATATTTTAATATAATAATGCCTTCCTCCTCCAAAAAAAAAAAAAAGGGTTATCTGTTACATCAATTTTGTCCCAAAGGCGTCATTCTCACTGATAAAGAGGAGAATGAAAAAATGAAACACAGGAGTTTTGATTAAATCAGTAATGCAACAATGTTGAAAATGTGTATTTCACTCTTGCATGTGGGTGAACACAGCACATAGCCATGCAAGAGGCAGCTTCTTCATCCTTTTCAGCCTCACAGTAGTGTCCGCCCATGCGATTCAAAATCCCGCTATGAATTCCTTAGAACTTGCTCCTTTGTCTTAGATTTTATTTCTTTTTCCCAGTCTGTTTTAAACATGACAGTTTGCCTCCAACTTCAATTCCTTGACTTGTTTAATACCTTTACCAAAAAAAAAAAAATACCCCCAGCAGTTCCTGTAACTCTCTCCTGACATGTGTGTCCTCTGAGATATGTATGCCATACCTACCTGGTCCTTGTCATTCCAAACAAGAGTAAGATCATCCCAGTGACTTTGTGCCGAATGTTCTACATACATGTCGAGCTTGGTATGCCCGGGGAAAGGAATGGAGAGAGGATGGAAAAGCTCCACTACGAGGAAAAGAAAATGTAAGCATGACTGTTCATTTTCTGATGAAGCAAAAGGGGTGGGATCTGCTCTCCCACCAGGAGCAGGGCAACAGTTGGTTCCCAGAGAGCAAGAACATCCATCTTGGTTCACACACAGACGCGCACAACCACACCAACACACAGGGTGACTTTAGTGTGCAGATTTCTGCTGAAGAAATGCAAGGGAAAAGACGACTCCTCTATTTAACCAGTAAGTCAGTAATTGCATGCAATAGTCAAAAGATCAATGTCTGTATCTAAAGAAACTTCCAACAAGAACAGCCAAAAAATCATCTTTATGAAGCTTACTCTGGAAGAGGAATAGTTTACAGCTCTCAAAAAGTAAGGGCAATTATTTTCTATGTTTTCAGATAACATAGTCTCAGCATAAGGGTTTAGACCCTCAAGGCAGCATCAAACATGGCCAGTGGTCCCTGCAGCTCCCAGCTTCACTAGGGTAACAGAATTTACTACAGTTTCTGAAAAAAGCCTCAGAACCAGCTGACAGCAAAAAAACAAAAATCAAAATTAAATTCAGGGAAAAAAAAGGAAAAGATAAACAGAAAAAGAAACAAAAACGAACCCAAAATGAAATACTTCGGCTCTCCAAATTCAAAAGGGCCACATTCAGAGAAAATGGCGTTATGGGTGGGATGTGCCTCTTTATACCTCCAGTGCCTTGTTTAAAGCATGAACCTGAGATGTGGCCCACCTAGCTTGAAACTCTTTCCTTCTCTCAATTGGGAAAGAAATTTTCATTTAGGTACCCACTTCACAGCGGACTACCCTAACCCACTGGATTATTGGGTATTTGAGGCTGAATCTTCCTCAAGCTACACGTACGCTTGTGGAGCTGTGAGCATTCCCAGCTAGCGAGTCAAGGTATGCACCTCACCCTCATACTGTGGGAGACTACAGAGCCTGTAAAACTCCTCAGCTCCTTGGTTTCTCCTGGAAGCAAGCACAGATGCACAAGTGCTTTCCAGCTGGATCCTTAAACTGTAAAATTGCAGAACCAAGACCCTGATCTGCACTGCAAAGTGGTACTGCTCATACTATGTGTCCTCCATCTCTCCCACTGAAGTCGTTCATGCTTGTGAAAATAACTAGACATTCACTGGCACAGAACTGTGGAACTATTTTACTCAAAACGGAACTGCCAGGACAGAAGACAGAGAGCGAGCCCCACTCATAAATTTGGGACATCTAATTTAAATCATTGCTCTGATTAAAGTAGAACGTAGATGTGAACCCAAGTCAGCGACCTCTCAGCTAAGCATCCTAGTTCCTAGGCTAGAAAAAGTAGCTGCAATATTTTTCATTCTCTTCTGTATTTAGAAATGGTATCTAAGTCCCTTTATGAGTCCAGAACAAGTTCCTAAGTTTCCTTTGCTCTTTATTAACAAGTTAAAACATTCAAAAGCATATATAAATCAAATGTTTCATTTAAGCCAGAGCACTTATACAACTTGCTGTAAAATAAAAATAGACATTTTTATTTGCTGATGACTCTTCAGTCTGGCCAAACTTTTTCCTGGCACTACTACAGCTTATGTAAGCTTTACATTCTGTATCCATAAAGCAGAAACAGGACTTCTAACGGTCAAAGTTCACAGTGAATTTGGGGCAAGTCAGATCTTATAAGGACTGGATTGAAACCATTTGAATATGCATTTTGAAATCAGATTCATGTGATTTCATTCATTTTATAGTCTGCTATCAAGACTTGCAAGAGAGTTTAGAAACCTACCCTTAACTTTATGACCTCCATGCAACTTTGGGAAGAATCCAGTGTAAGCGCCTGTTACTTTTACCTCTCTGCCATCCCAGAGAGCAATGTGTCGCAGCATACATGTTCCATTACTTTTTTGGTAAACTGTCATGAACATAAGCTGCCTTGGAAGACTTTTTAACTGAAAATAAAACAAGGGAAACACATTAAATCCCAAGCTCTCTGGAAAGTTTAAAACCTAAATGTATAATTTTGGTACTGTGTACTCCTTTGGTTTCTATCTATAGAAACGTGTTTATAGGAGGTCTAATATAGTGATATCCTAATGCCTAACTGACGCATGTAATCCCTGCTTTTGTCTAAGCATGCATTTCTCCTTGCTTTCACTTCTACCAAAAGTCATTTCCTCACATAATGGAACACAGAAGGCAGAGTATATGCTCTTTACAATACTGGGCTTTGCTTATTACGTATTTTGCTTCAGTGAATAATGTTATAATATTCTCCTTACTCCATCAACAGCACCACCATTAAAGAATAAATCCAGCAGATAATGCAAATAATAGCGATTGCTACCTCTTTCTTCCTTATTTATAAAGAGAAATGTGTGTGGCAATGGCAGAATAAAATTTGGCAGTAGCTTAGTTTTTAATACATTATTTCCCTCTATTTCCTATATATTTTATAAACTTATGTATACCATACTCTGTCCATAGGAGCACACAAATATCAATCAAACAAGAGTTAATGTTGTTGGACACCCAACTAATCAACGTTCAAAAGGTTTGCTCCTGCTACTGGAGAAATCAAGGGCAAAACACCTAATACACAGCTGGAGCTGGAGCTGGATTTGACCTTCATGGCCTGGCAGCCAGCATCCTGAATACAACCCTCTAGAAATAAAAAAGCTTGACTTTTCCCATTTGAACTGATGGTGCCAACCTGAGGTATCGTGTGTATCATTTCAATGACGTTAGTATAGCTAGTCCCAATGAAACTTAGCTTAGTTGTAAAACTGAAATCTTTTTTTTCCATGCTGAGGAAGAGTTTGCCTTCTGCTTCACTCACATCATAATTTACCTTTTGAAGTTCCCATTTAATTAAAAATGGGAGAAAGAGAAGGAGAGGGAGAAAAAAATTATTGTGGTCATATTTTTGTTGCAGTGTATCATATTATGGTTCTCAGGACCTAGGAGAGATCTGATTTGTCATTCTCCTTTATGTTCACATTGTAGTAGGCACAGCCACAAAATAGCTTACACTGAATAATAAGCATATAAAAAAATGTGTTTGTTTGTATGTATGTGAGCCGTTATTGCAGGAGTAACAGTGTGCTGCATTTGATTGACAAAAGACCCCATTCATCTTCCTTGCCCAACCCTGCTTTTGCATACTACTCCACCGCACAAAGCCAATATCCAGAACTGTTTTTTACCCTGTCTCTCTTTTCTTAGTAGCCAGAATAATTAAACACATCCCTGGAACAAGTCTAACAGATCTCATTATTAATGTAGCTGCACAGAAGCAGAGTCAAATAAACAAATCCCCTGCAGTAGCTTCTGAACGCCAGCAGCTTCGGAAAGCCTCGACACCCTCCACAGCAACACCAAGGTCAGAGATGCTAGCGCTAGAAATAACGCAGCTCGACTCCTGCAGTACTAGTGAGGCTAACGTGTACTGATGTATGTGGTGGATAAGTTGCACACACTTACCATGGAAGAAAGTCCTGCTGCGCTAGGGAAGTACTGTAGAAAGGAGGGAAGGTTCTGGAAGGCTTTTATAGTCAGCTCTGCACTAAAGGGAAGAAACGTACTGTTTGTTCAACAATATTTCAGAAAGCCCGCTCTCGCTGACCGCACAAGTTCGGCTGAGTAGTCTCCAAGTCTACCACAGTTTTTGGAGTTACAAACTGCAGTTCCTTCCACTGAACGCTTAACCAGCTCATGTGTTTTGATGCCCACATGCAAAGGCATGCAGGGAGGAGGACTAAACGGCCTGTCTATGCATTCCTGGGATAGCGTGTGTCCCACTAGCTCAGAAATTACTTTGACTATCATAGCAGACACACCCGCTCTTTAAAAGTGAGCTTTCTGTTTTGGAATCTATGACTTTGCAAGCACTGTAGTGGTTTCCAGATTTAGAATTTACACTTATTAGACATTGTAACAGAAATTGAAAAAATGTTCAGTGCAATGATCTTTTGCTGTAGCTTATCTATGAAATACCCAAAATACCCTTTCAAGGCCCTAAGCCTGAAAATACTACACCTCTTAAACACTTTCAAAAGCCTACAATTTTGTGGATGCTCCATACAGAATCTTTCTGTTTACACATGTACTATTGAACACTTTTGAAGTAAAGAATTTTCTATTCTTCTTTAAACAATCTTGAAAGCTTTCAGAAGAAAACGGAAAGAATCAGAAAAATTAGCACAGTAGATAGAACCATACTGATAGCAGATTAGAAAGCTGAGTGAACCTCCATTGTTTTCACAAGGGTCAACTATGCTAAAGGGACTTAATAGGATTTAAACAGCTATATGGAGTTAAGGCACATTCTTAAGTGCTTGGCTGGCTCAGACCTTGAGTTTTCTGGATCGTTTCACTGTCCCCTGGCTCAGTCCTGTGCGGGCAGGCAAAAAGGCAAGCATGCCCAACCTGCTGGGCGCAGGAGGGGAACCTGTTGCAGCCCTTCACAGTTTCCTGAAGTACACAGACTGTGTGGTGCGACTGTGCACTTAATCAAGGATTTACTATCCGATTCACCAGCGCTTTGTTGAAGAAAACTAACTTCTTCCATGGAATCCCAGCAGCCTAATGATATTTTTATAGTGTCTGAAATTACCCTCTTACCCTTGCTGGTCATTTTTCCTATTGATGGTTAAGGAAAAGCTTGTGTTTTGTTCACATATGAGCTGCAGAGCTCCTGCAATTTCATTTTCAGTCAGGACTTCATGAATTGCCATCTGTGGGGAGGAAAAAAGTCACAGGCCATAGATGAGATGCAAGGTAGACGCTAACTTGAGCCCAATCTCTTGACTGACTGAAAAATACCATCTTGACTAAAGTTTATCTTCCAGATAGACATGCTTTCTAGATGCCTTCTAGACTTAATTCAAAGGCACCAACAGATGTCCTCATTTTTTCCTGTGAGTGTGTTTCCATAGCTGCTCATTTGCACTGTTGACAAATATCAGCCATACTTTCAATGTGCCCTTGTCTGTTTTAAGTCTAGAGCCCATACTGTATCCACCACTAAATTAAGGAGCCATTTAATACCCACTCTACTCTTTCCTATGCTGTAATGAAGCCACCTTTCCTATGCTGTAATGAAGCCACCTTTCCTCTGCTTTTTGGTAAAACACATGGAGCTCCACACATCTCCTAGTCTAAGGTATTTTCTTATTCCTGGAGCTGACTCTTCAGGTTTATCCTGAAACTGCTGAACAAGTCCTCTAGGCAGGTGAGCATCCTCTCCCACTTAAGACATCAACACATGTTTACCAAAGTCAGCATGAACAGTGGTCTTAAGTCCCACGATCACATTCATACCTTGCACTTGAGTAAGGCACTCACAGAATTAACACCCTTGGTCTTCTCTTCTCACTGGAACGTTTAAAGGATAAACGACGTTTAACCAAAGACTAAGGTAGGAGAAGCAGGGGATATACCTAATTCTTTCTAATAAAATGATGACTTTAAGCATCCATTTCAAATGCTGACATATAATTTGCAGGTTTAATATTGACCTAGTTTTTATTTTCAGAAGAGTCTACTTTTATGCTTGTATCCTAGCTACAAATGATTTCCTTGATGAAGGAAAGCTGTTTTCTACCAGAAGTCCCTTCCACATTACTGGCAACCTGTACCAGCTAGGAAATGACCATCAGAACTCACAGTAAATGGGCTCCTCCCTGAAAGGATTAACCATGCAAAAACAGGGATTTCACGTACCTGCTGAATTTGCTTAGAAACAGACCATTAGCTGTATACTTCAGGTAAGCAAAGATTCAGATACACTAAGCCCATTCCTCTCTTGCCTATACTTGTACAAACCTGGTGTAATTTCACTGAAGCCACTGGAGCGGCTAACAGAATTACTGCACACTGTAACCTGGCTGACTTCTATAACCAAAGCACAACAAAACATCTATGGTTTATCACCTTAAGGAAGAAGGGAAGTCCCAGATGACTGAGAAGTGGTATTGAATGCTTCATCTCTGCCATGAATTCAAATGTACCATACAGTTCAAAGTCTGCATCGACATCCATATTCACAGTTATATCTTTGTCATCATATTGGACTTTGCAGATAGTCTTGGCTTTGTTTTCTAAATAGCAATGACAAAATGGTGCCATTTTGACAGGTTCTTTTATAAGGAATTTCAGCACTGCTTGCATAAAATCAAAATCAAAAATGAGATTCAAAATCTCATTCAAGATGACATAGTTGCAGTCTGTGGTTTGAAGAGTTGAAGCAAAATTCAGGACTCTTTGGATATCCTTGAATATATCAAGCTCTGAGTTAACACAGCATTTGCACTCATGTACAACTGTTAAGTGACGAGTCAGTTCCTGACAATAATGTTTTATGCTAGAGCTGACAAACTTATGCTGTCGTTTAACACCCAGCATGTCGTAACCATTGCCTCTAGAGAAGAGTTCTGAGCTTCTTTCAACCTCTAACGACTCCCTTAGTTCCAGCTACAGCAACCAAAACACTGCTCAAGCAACAAGACTTAAGGCCTTCTTTTGCCTGTTTTGCTACCAACTTCCCATATTTGAAAAGGAGAAAATACAGAAATAATTTCATTGGTATGAAATAAAAAAAGGCAAATAAAAGACAAAGGACCTGAAATCCTCCCACAATTTAGGGAGAGGACAAAGTCATGGATGTGTATGTGGTTGTACACTGACCACTCCAGTGGCTGTCCTGAAAGACAATCAGTATATTAGCTGACACTTAAGACCTGCTTATTTAGAATAGGATAGGAGAAGCTGCTAGCAACATGAGTGCTGGTTCAGTGCCTGCTGACCTCAATAATGCCCGAGTTTTGGTGCTCTCTGGTTTCTTCCACTTACACGATAGTTTTTTCAATGCGAATATACTCCCATGTGGGCAGTGAAGGTACCTGACACCACAGAAATCAGCAGCTGAGGGACATGCAGATAGGATCCATGTCAGGGCAAGTTCTGAGGACAAATGGGGTCATCCAGGATGGGTCGGTCTGTCCCTCCACAGATCCAACAACAAAGGCCATTAGTAGTGATAGGGTGACACAGAGGCAATTAGAGCCTCTCTTTCAGCTGATGAGAAACTCTTATTAAGTCTTTGCTTTTCATATGCAGGTACCGTCCTAAGATATCCAGGTCAGCTTTTCACACTAGTTAGGCATTCTTAGGCTAACATGGCATGGCTTGAACTTGGTAATACTTGCAAGAATCCTAAGTGGGATCAGCTCACTCTATACTACTTAGAGCCTGCTCTAAGAAAAGGGACGCGGGGTAGGGACAGCAGTAGCACGTGCTCCAGATAAAGCCCTGTCCTCTCCATTCATGGGTCAGATCCGTGCTCTGCTGCCCACAACCT